GGGGAAGTTATTAGAACCGATGTAATCTAAATAAGAAGAAAGAAAAGTGGGTGAAAAAATAACTGCCGTGAGCAATTCAGTTCTTTTCACTGCCTTTGATGCAAAAAAATGGCATTTGCACAAGTCTTCATTCAATTTTTAAATATAATGCAGCTTAGTTAGGTGATGGCACATAAGCCTATTTTTTTTTATAATATGTGCTATATGTACAATTTCGGATTTGATTCAAAATTATTCGATCGAAATCACTATTTGCTTTAAATTCACTTTGAACAAAAAATTTGCTGTTTGCGCAAGCCTACTTTTTAGCAGGGAGACACTGATATATGTCACGGCATTTGTCTGCCACTTCTACTGATTTAAAAGGCAATATTATATTTACATCACAATTATAGATTTATGCCAGGAGCACTGCAAATTGACTACCTCACGATTGAGTTAAGGTGTTATTTTATGATGTACTTCAAGGCTTAAATTCAGTTTACGTATATTCACAACAGTGATTAGACCCATACCCATAGGCTAGTAAGGGGTCTAACGAGAGAAAGTATATAAGCACTATAACAACTTGTGTGATAGGTATTCTGCTTATTTGCTTGTGTATTAAAAAACAAAGAAACAAAAAGAAGGGAGGTTATTCAAACAACATCCAATCGCATGGCACCGTTATTTTACAGAGAAAGCTGTTATGAGATTGCAACAAGTGTCGCGTGCACCATAGTTGTTAATAACCACTATTACATGATATAAGAAAAAAAATCTACATCAGTGAAAAGTATCAGGGACACAATGGGATTCGAACCTGGGTCTGTGGGCCAACCCAGTAATCTACCACAGAGCCGCGCCGATGCTTGAAACTCCATTACAAACCGGCTTTAGGCAGGCTTGATGTATGGAAAGGAATCGCGTAATCTGAATAATAAAACGTTTTAAAACAGTAAAAGAAGAACCATGTGTCACACATTGCAAATTGCATAACAAAAAAAAAAATTGCACAAGATTTCTTGAGAGTGTGTAGAGGGTACCATGCTTCTACGAAGAATGACAAAAGATAGCATAATAAATGCCTTTCTACTACACGAAAATATGATTTATGGCATAGTGGGTACCCTAGGGCATTTGCTGAGGCAATGCCCTGCGTTGCGTGAGAGCAGGGAGTCTCCCTCTACGGAGACGGACTGTAACTGTCCTCACAGGGCATGACAAAGTAAGCCAGCTTAGGGCCATTCAGAAGGCTTGCGACAAAGCCGTGGAGCCACTCCCCATCCTGTCAAGGGAGTGGCCCACCAGTGTGTGGCCCCTTAGGGGGGTTGATCACCGCCTCCGAATACTAATAAAGTTCTTTGCCTGCCTGCCTGCCTTCCTGCCTGCCTACCCTACGGCAAGTGTGATTGTAGCAGTTACCGAAAGAGTGTTGAAAAAAAAAAAAAAAACAAAGGCTCAAAAGGCCGCTCTTCCAGCTTTTGCTGCGACTGTGCTGCACAATCTACGCAGGCGTGGTGGTTTTTTCAGTCTTGTAAAATAATTATAGCTCCAGAGAACATTTTTTCTTGATGAGATTCGCAAGAAATTGAGATAGTTTTGTAGCTCTGCATATTAACCCCATAATGATTATTCAGGTGTCTCAATGTAAATACAACTAGATGCAACTTCTATGATTAATGTACTCTAAAATGTGAAATGGGGTGCTACTTGTGGCTTCAATATAGATATTTTGCTGCCCCAGAAATCGCTTTAAATCATATGTCCTCATTAACATCACTAGTCATTAGACATTATTGTTGCATTGCTTTGATTGATGCTCTTATCAGGCACAGCTCCTTACTGATGCATAGCTTCTTACAGTTGCCAAGTGATCCATTAGGCCTAGCTAGTTGACTGCTGTTAAAGTTCTTTACTTTTTTTTAATTTGCTAAAGGGAATCTGAGAACACCTTCAGTTTTTGTGTTTGTGTGTGCATGAATATGTGTGTGTGTCTGCATGTGTGTGCGTGTGTAGACTCACACATACATACTGGTGAACCACATTTTTTGTAAAGTATAAAATTTATCTGCTTCATAAATGCTACTTGCTCTAAGATGCAGCTTATACAATAGCTCAGGCTCTTTATGAGTGTGCACTAGACTTACGTGTGGGTCTTCTGGGAATATTGCTACATTGTTTATCGTACATTATATTTGTGTGGGAGCATGGTACTTTCTTGAAATAACTGAAAAAAAGTATGGCAGTGGTGGAACATATTTATAGGGTCATTTCTAATAAAATGTTCGCGTTTTATGAGTATAGACCACTTATAGGTCAAGTTGCCAGAGTTGCAAATATCGATACTGTACACACAATAACGAAAAAATATTTTGCAAAGTGCAAAAGATGACAAACACTCAGCTGTGCTATTTTGATAATTGAGGAGGGCGATTGGGGTGTTGAAAGGTTAACGTCTGTGGATCTGGGGTGTCAACATAAGAAATGGAAAAATAAAAAAAACAACGTATTGGAACGTCACCTATGAGCTATTGGGACCTCTTATATTATGCAGCGTTTGCTGCGGTACCAGAATGGGCAGAAACTATATCAAACGACCATTGAAGGTCGCTCACTTGCTTTTTTTTGTGTGTGCACTGGCATGATGGAAAAAATAGTGAAGGCCATGCATGAATCACTGCTCAAGTGTTGCATGCATGCTTTTGTCTTCACTGACATGAAAGGCACCTCTTCCGAACGTAACAATTGCAAAACATTCTGTGCCTCAGCACCCAGCTGCAACTTTGGTCGTCAATAGCCACTATTACTAGGCACCTAGTGCTTGTTGGGTATGGTGTGCATGTTGTGACTAGGCATGCTGTCAAAGGAAATTGTTCAAAAACAACACAGAAATCGGGCCCAGAAGATATGGCATTCACGAGCTAAACTAAGGTGAAGCCAAGTTTCAGTTCATAATCTGTAGAAAAGGCACGGCACCATCCTGATGAAGGCTGCTAAGCTCGGAAGTTTGCCTGGCAAAGACAAAAACTTGCTCACGTCTTAAAACATTCCCATTTGTGGGGGGATATATCACATGCACAATATCTGCACTCTATGACGACATGACCATTTTCCTGACTTAAAACCACAGAGGCAAGCAGTGGTAATGCACCTTTTAGGGGGCATATGCACCCGTTTTGGAGTGGAGCGGTGCATGATTGGTGGCTTGAGTGAAGGGGTCAAAGCATGTAACCAAGGCCTCTCCATCGACTAGGCAACGAATCCTTATCCATACACCGATCACCTGCATTGCACTGAGCCCTCCCCCTTCCGCCTTGTTTTCTTTCCATGCTCTCTGTTTTCTCTCCCTTCTTAGCACCGCAATGGCTCTCATCCCAGCCGGCACACCTGTTCAGATTAGTGCACCTGCTCTTTCGCTTCTTTGCAAATTTCTGGTAGCTGCATTACAGCCAGTCTTACATCTTGGGGAACGGCCTTAAATGGTGGTGTTATGAATGGTCTTATCATATACAGTTGATTCTCATTAATTCAAACTAGAAGGGACCTCTGAATTTTGTTTGAGTTATCATGAAGTTTGAATTATCAGAAGTTCTCAGATATATGAATCTGGGCTAGATGACACCACTCATTATGACTATGCAGTGATATTATTGCATTTAAATTTTTTTAAAGTGTTTTTAAAGCCTAACTGCACCTAAAGAACAAAAAGCAGAGGTACAGAGAGGTCCACTGTTGAAGAGAACACCGTAGCGCATGTCGTCTGCTCGGCGCCACCACCGGCCGGCTGCGACAACTACTTTCGCGTAGAACCAGCAAACACTGTGGGCGGCGCTAGTTTGTCGTCTGCTACAGTTTGTGCTGCGCTCCGGATCGCCGCAAAGCCAGCCATCCCTGTGCTTTGAAAATTGTCCGCAGAATGAATGGCCACGCTAAGCTGTGGAAAAATGAAAGGAAATAATGTTATATAAAATACTACCTCACTGTGTTTTCGGTGGTTAAAAAAAACCTTGTATTCTTTACAGACACATTTTTTTAGCATAGCCATGATAAAGTGCATTTTTCCTTGTGGAGCGTGTATGTTATGTGCACTAGTGCAGATTCGAGCTGCTGCAGTGCGTATAAACTTAACAAATAATTTACAAGTGCCTTTAACTGGTGGCACCAGAAACCTTTCTCAAAGTGGCGATTCTTTATCTAATGAGAAGGCGAACGAAAGACAGCAATGCAGCTGATGTGTCAGGTGACATCTGATTATAGATAATTACCATCATTTTCTTTCAAAGTCGAAGGAAAGCGACCATTTTTAAGATTCTACGACTTCGGCCACGCTTCACGACGATCAGAAGCAGGGCCGCAACTTCATCAGATGAGGAACTAGCACCACCCACAGCACTTACTGCTTTGAGTGAAACTAGTTGCCGCAGCCGGCCGGCAGTGGCGCCGAGCAGACGACACGCGCTCCTGTGTTCCCTCTAACAGTGGACCCCTCTGTACATATAAGGTCCACAAGTTTATTGGCCATTTACTGCTGATCAGACCTTTTAAAGAAATCGTGAATTGCCAACTGCTTTTTTGCTATATGTGCCTTCAGCACAAACCTCTCTATACCAGTTGAGAAGCATCATGGTTTATCGTGCGTGTGCCTCATTTCAAGCATTTGTTGACTAGAAGAGCCTTTTTTCTCGACGGCGTTAGGCACTTATTTGTCATTTTCAGATTATATAAGCTCGCAAACTTTTGAATAATAGTGGGAAAGCAGCAGATATTTCCCGATATGGAACTCCAAAAAGTATGAATTCTCCAAATGATGAGTTTGAATCAAGATGCTCTTAAATGCATTGAAAGTATGGAGGGCCAACCGAAAAATTGAATTCCGTTTAAATTAACCGAGAGTATGAATTATCATAGTTTGAATTATCGCAAGTTTACTGTATGTTCTTGGTAATACCTGAGTTATGATGACTACTTTGTCATGAGATAGTGTCAAGTTTTATATTTTTGGGTTTCTACATTTTCAGAAGATGAAGGCAAAGACTGAAGATGTAACACTAGTAGGCAGTTCTGGCCAGGAACCAAGTGATGACACTCCAGTACAATCGCATGCAACTGTTGAGTGTCCTGTAAAGCCCACAGGAATGCCACAGTGGTCCAACTCGAAAAACCAACAGCAAGTTCATTCTGCAAACATTCATCATGACCGCAGTTATGAGATGATATCTGACACCAGCAGCTTTCTTGCCCGTGACCCGAAATATTACTGTGGCCGTGGTTCTAGCAGTGAGCATAATTATCAGCAGGGCTTTGGACCTGGCTTCAATGGAGGTCGTTTTTACAGTCCCAATCAGCAATTCTGCTACTCAGCACCACCATTTAGGCCTAATTATCCTGGAGCTGAAGCCATCAGAAGTAACAGATGGTATGTATTTTACTAACAATTGTGATTGAGTACATGATCTTTTTAAAGTACATGTTCTTTTCTATTAAACTATATTGTCATTAATTTTGCTATCATAAGTTTTATTAATGCAGTTTGTCAAGGTTAAAGTTAGGTTTTGAAATCTTGCATCAAAATCTCCGTGCATGGCATCAAGAATTATAAAATGTATTTTTTATATTTTAGCATTGTTGTCTCCATGAAATTTTCCTGAACTTTGTACATTCGGCGAGCTGCGCACAGTTTCTTGAAACCCTTGAATACCCTTGAAAATTTAGTCTGTTTTCAAGGCCCTTAAAAACCTTGAATTTTGGAGCAGTCCTTGAATAACCTTGAGTTTCTTGAATGATAAATTTGAATTGGTGTTCGCAATCATAAAACTGTCTTTGATGCTGAACTTTTGTTATTTGTTTGAGTTATGAAATACAACCAACAAACCGTACCAATTCTTATACCTATTTAGCTGACTATCGTTAGGCAGCTGGCAACATTTGATGATGTGAGTCTCGGAGGCAGCCTCCACCGTACACGTCGTGGTAATGACGAAAATGTCAATGCTGGTGCTGGTAAAAGTGGAGTCCGCTGTGAGCGCAGTCGCGCCATTGCTATCGCATGTTCATTGTCTCTGTCCAACTTTAGCGCGGGCTCAGCTTAGTCGTGTGGCGTTGCTGCCAGCACTTTTTGGAATGAGCATGCCTTTTTTGCATTAGTGCAAGTGATGTGTTATGTGTAACAATGCCCGGAAAAAGCGAGTTTCAGACTTTGTGGCTCTATCATAACGACTACAAGCACTCGTTTGCTCCTGACACGACGAATCCGCATCGGGTGAAGTGCAAGCTTTGCGGCAAAACTTTTGATGAGACTGCCATGGGTGAATCTGCTTTAAAAAGTCGCATGAAAAGTGCAAAGTATATTTGTGCAGTCCAAATGGGGCAAGGGAGTTCGCTAAAAAGCTACCCGACGCTTGTGTTGACAAGCAGTCCACTAGAGTGTCTTCATTGCAGTCCCCAAGCCTGAACGATACTTATAAAACGTGCGAGCTTGTCATTGGCACAGAAATTCTTTGGACTTTAAAAGTCGTCAACCTAAGTAGGGGAGTTACTTCGACGCATGTTCTCAGACAGAGAAGTGGCAAAGGTGTTTTTTTGTGGTGAGAAGAAAAGTGCCTATGTGAAATGTCATGGTTTCAGGCCTTTTTTCTTTTGGCCTTGCAGCGAGAGGTAGAGCAGTGTGAATGTTTTGTCGTACTTTTCAATGAGTATATGCACAGTAAGCGAATGGATGTGCACACAAGGTGTTGGGACTCCGCTCCGAAAGGGACGACCAGATATTACACCTCCGTTTTTCTGGGACATTCTACAGCGGATGACATTCAGGAAAAGTTGCTAAGCTCGCTTGAGCCATTGTTCCTGGCAAAGAGCCTTCAAATATCTGTAGATGGTCCCAATGTCAATCTGATGTTCTTTAAAGGGGCCCTGCAACACTTTTGAGCATGGTCAGAAAACACTGCCGATCGGTAGTAGAGACTCCTGACAACACGCAAGCCGCAGAATACCAGAACTTGTCCATGGTTGCGCACTCGATCACAATGAAAAGTTGTGCATTCGCAGAAAAAAAAAAGTGCCCATGGTCATAAGGTGCACGTGACGTATTTTTTTTATTGCCCCTATCATCCCTCCCTGCTTAGCTTGCAGTGCTTTTGTCGGGACGAAGGTAGAGAGAATGCAAATGTAGCATGCAACAAATCTTTGTAACTCTACTCGTACTGGACGGATTCTTAACATTTTTTCGGCGTTGAATTTGTGAGGCAATAATCTCTTCCAGTGAATACATTTCATGGTTACTTGGAAAAGTATTTCAAGAAGGGTCTCCAAGAGCACTTGCAAGAGCATTAAGAAGTTCGATGTGTGGATTTAGGCACTTGTGGACTTCACACAGTGTACAACGCATATAAAGCAGGAGTTTCAGCTACTGAATGGGGACTTGATTGCCTACTGTCCAGTCCAAGCAGACATTTTGAAGGTGCCCCAGCACGGAGAGAGAATTTTTCATCAGTTACAGGCCAGCACACTTTTCCTCTCAAGTTCGTTTCCCACTATGTTATTGAGAGAGCACTGTTGGTGTGGTCTGACATCAAAGGTGCATTGAGGCTGCTAGAAAAAAGATAAAGTGTGTCTTGTTCAACAACTTATTTGACTTCAGCTGTGATGCTTTGCTGCCAGCAAAGTTGAATTTTACATTGTGTGTGGCAATGGCTTTGAAGCCCTTTCTGGTAGAGTACCAGACAGACAAACCAATGTTTTTGTTTTTTCTTGCAAGCGATTTATAAATTATTCTCGGGAAGCTGCTGACCAAGTTTCTGAAGTGTCTGATCATTTCTACCAAAGAAATTATTGGGTTACTGAAGGTCCACATTAATAATGCCCAGAATTGCATTCCACTTGAAAATGTCGATGTAGGCTATAGAGTTTATTTTTATTTTTATTTATTTGTTTTTCAATACACGATTGTCATGGTGCAGGAGACGAAAGGCAACTTTGAGTGTCCTGACTAGGCCTCTAGCACCACACCGTACATTTTTTCCACAGATCGACTGTGTTGGCAAAAAAAGAAAAAGAAACGTAAGAACACAATCACATTGCGAATAACTAGGAGGGAGTTTATACAAAATAAAGATTACAAGTCGAGCAAATTATCAAGAATCTTCAAGTAAGCTCAAAGGATGTGTTTCAATTCCGGATAGAAAGTAAATAGTTTTGATCAGTGCCACAAAGAAAGTTCTAGAGGAAAGCCTCTTGAAGTTTGCATTTGTTAGGGGCCTTTTTTCACAAGACCCATGGTAGATGCGTTCAAAGCCCGACAAATGTCTGTCAAGTTTTAGAAAAGTGTTAGATGCCCTCATTGGTGCGGGTAGAATAGCTGAACACTTTGGAGACACTGTGTTGGTAGACTTCATGGAGCTTCTGCACAAGCAGAAAGATATTCTTAGGCGTATAACAAGAGTGCTGATAGACAGGATGAGTTCTACCTTGACCTCTTGAAGTTCTCTTGAAGCTACTCTGAGTTATGGATCATCGTAATGTTTCTGCTTGCCCCCAGTCACGGCCAGGCAACAGTTGAACGAGAATTCAGTGTAAACCTACAAGTGTGTGGAGAATTTCGAGAACCTTTCTTATGTGTCACAGTGGTTTGTGTGTGATGCCCGTACGCCACTAGTCCGTCTTACGAACGAATAGTTGATTGGGGGCCATCCTTGGCGACCAAGTGGCAGGTGTTCGCAGAAGGTAGAACGGCGATGTTTCTGCATGTGGGTTATATTATGGAGTCGTATAATAATAACCATATACGTCGATGATGTACAGATTGCATATATGTCGATGATGTACAGATTGGTTTCAAATCGTGCAACATCTCAATGTGCCAATTTCAGGTTCAACTAGGGTTGAACAAAGTATCTCAGTGGGCAGATGAGAATGGTTTATACTCAACGTGCAAAAGAGCACTTTCGTCTTGTTTTGCCGAAAAAGGGGCCTCCATCCTAACCCCATTGTCCTGCATGGTCAACCTCTGTCAGTGAAGACAGAGCACAAGTTTCTTGGACTAATATTGGACACAAAACTAACCTTCATCCCACATATAAAGTATTCAAAAGACTGGTGCGTAAAAACAATGAATATTTTGAAAGTGTTGTCACGCACTGTGTGGTAGTGACAGGAAATGTCTGATGAATTTATATACAAGCCTCGTACGCACACACCTAGATTACGGTGCTATAATCTATCAGTCTGCGACACTATCAGCCTTAAAGATTCTCGACCCTGTCCACCATCTAGGCATTCACCTCTCTTTGGGTTTTTTTCGAACTAGCCCAGTGGAGAGCCTGTATGTGTATTCGAATGAATGGTCACTTCGCCTACGGAGATGTTACCTGTCTTTTGTGTACTTTCTGAAGGTGAAGGCAGACAAGCAACACCCCTCTCATTTCACAATCTGTGTAAGGGGCCTGGCCAAAGAAACAAGTGGGCCTCTTATCGAACAAAGTTTGATGGCTCCTGCTGGATATCTGCCACCGTGGAAGTGGCAGCTTATAGACTGTGATGTCTCTTTTGGGGAAGTCGGAAAGCAGGCATCACTTGCACACACGCATACATACTTCCTAGAACTACAACATAAATACACATGCCCAGAGTTCTTTACAGATGCCTCCAAGTCCAACACTTCTGTGTCATATGCAGCGGTAGGCCAATCCTTTTCCGAGGCCAGCGTTCTTCAGCCTGATGCAAGCATTTTCACAGGAGAAGCTTACGCAATACTGGCAGTCGTAAAACACATCAGACAGATAAAATTACAAAAGGCGGTAATATACACAGATATCCTAAGCGTGGTCAAAGCCCTGAAAACTCCTAAAAAAACACAAGAACCCCGTGCTGGTGTCACTTTATTTGATTCTGTAGTAGTGAAAATATCGTCTAGAACACTTTTACGGAGTGATTCAATCGTTTCACTGGTACTTTCCTTCAACCCATATACAAACAAGTTATTACGCCTGCTTCTGTTTTCAAGATCATCAAGCTTCGCTTGTATCTGAACAATGCCTGCCTATACTTGATCCACTGTTTTCTCACGTTTTTTACACTTTTACCAGCAAGGCGCTTCAGTTTACTTTCAATTGAATCTAACCTCTGATCTGTACGAGCAATCTAGTCGCCGAGCTTCTTGCTAACTGTTCCCATCACCTCAAGCATTTATTTTTGACCTTTAAGTAGCTCTTGCATAGCAGAATCATTAAGTCCTGGGTGCAAATCATTATGCCCACTCGGAAGTAATACCAACACACATGCAGCTTCAACACATTCTGCCACTCCATCACAAAAGGCTCTGTGGCAAGGCAACATTACCAGGCACCGAAAAATTGCGGTGCATTTGGAATAAGAATGTTTTTATTAACTTGCAGAATGTAAAAGAGCGGATTATTCCGTGGCCGCATGCCGGCGGTGCAACCTTGGCCAATGCCACTGAAAACATTGGGGGCATATCTTGAGGCCTCGCCTGTAACTTTCGATTTGGCTGTATAGTTCAAAGCACCAAAAACCGAAATTGAGCTAGCCACCAAATTCATGAAAATTCGCCTGTGCAGCGGAATTAAAGGCTGTGCTGATTGGTGTCGGGTGACATTATCAGCGGCAGTAGGCTTTCCGGTGACCATTCATCTGATCATAGCTCCAGGCACAAGACGTGGATCTGCAGAACATACAAGAGCAGATTATTCCATGGCCGCATGCCGGTGTTGCAACTTTTCCCAATTGTGTGCAGGATAACCAATTCTGAGAGCTGGCTAGTTTCCCAGTCTTTACTTCCCTTTGTTCCTTCCTTCCTCCCTTGTCTAGGGGTGCCTGTTGGGGCTTTCCCGCCTAGCGATTCCTGTGTGGCGACACTGAACTTTTTCGTGGGCGCATGGAGCAGTGTCAGTGGCCCTCATTTTCAATATATATTCTTTCCATTTTATACCGTTGCAGTACCTTACACAAATTTATTATGTGAACCACCACTTTTGTTAATCCGGAACGAAAAGAGAGTTTTGATTGATCATACATGCTTTTGCACGTGTGACACTTCAGTCTTTTCAAAAACCTGCATATGGAAATTTTGTCTGGCAAGTCATAGTTATTTCACAGGTAGAGCATCTAAATTGCACAGGGAAATAAGAATTGAGGTTGAAGAGCTCTTCTGTGTTGGCTGGTCATTTCCAAACTGAAGTGTTATATGCTTGTTGGCGAAACCAGTTTGTGTCAATACATTTCTTTCATCAGCTAACCAATACATTTTAAATTTATCAAAGCTGGTGTTGCCTTGTTGCCAGCATTGTCATGGCTATCTTGCTGTTTGAACAGTCCACTAGGCAGTACATAGTATAGCGAAGCATTAAGACATCATCGTAAAAGAAAGGTAAAAATACAACAGCTAGCACCCGTAGGGCTGCAATATGTGATCGCGTTAGTTTTCACTCCAGAGAAAAGATGGGTTAATTTTGTGGCTTGTCCACAGAAGATACTGTACATTTGAATATCCTCTGTCACTGACACTTAAGATATCATTCCGTAGGCATGTACCTATAGGCTTGCGTTAGTAGTATGCAATAAAGTTGGGCTGCCTTCGCATGGCGTAATGATTCCATGCTCGTCAGGGCGTTTTAAACAGCTTTTCAGGGTGCTCATGCAGCCATGCACGCTGTATCCAGATTGCTGAGATTTTTGAGCGACGTAGTTTTGCTACCCTCACTTTGCCTCAGAAATGATGTGTATGCTACTAGACACAGTCGCGCATATGAGTAGTGACGTTTTTTGTGACTTTGCTTGGCTCGTGTATCGATAGTAACGACAACGGAACAAGCCATTCATGGCACAGGCGCTGGCAACCTTGGGTGCAGGCACACACAGTACGCTGTAAATACAAAGGTGTAAAATGCTGAATCATCTCAGTGTAGCAGTGTTTTTCAGAAATATTTGAAAAGCCTAAAATGGAGGCTGTTGTGGGTAGTTACGAAAATTCCTGCAAAAGCAGAATGATGACAGCTTTCAGAAATAGCGAGAAAAGCTGGCAGCATCGCTATCCATATTTAGCGTTCCTGAAGGAAAGATGCATCTGTGTTTAGAGCCTTTTAGATAAAAAAATACTGCTTGTAAAATAACATTCCTTTGGTATTAGCTGCTGCAGCTACAAACACTTTGAAGGGTGAGCTCTGTGTCGTGCTGTAAAAAATTGGTTGTGAAAAATTGGTTTCGTCTCTTTAAAGTAGATCCGAGAAATCTTTTTGACGACACCTACTGACCAACAAAGCTAAGTTGCATATATCATTGTACATTCCAAAAATGCCTATTGCATTCCAAAAATGCCTATTGCGTTCCAAAAACGAGTGCTGCGCCAGATATACCTTAGATGCACAATAGTATCGCATTCTATTTGATTGTTGGGTTAAATCATAAAAGTATTGCTACTTATAGAATTCAGCTTTTTTTCTCTCAATTTAACACATACTTTTTCCTTTGTGCAATGATAGTCTCAGATTTTTTTATGGGTCAAGGTACTTGCAGTGGGATTCTTTCCGATATTTGTTTAGTAAAAAAATTTTTTGTTGTCTCAGTTTTTATGCTCGATTTATACTATATTAGGTACTAACTTGCTCAGTATGTAATTCTTATTATTTCTTATGTGCAATTCATGTAATTAAATTTCTTACTGTGGCTAAGAGAATCATTCACGGTACTTTTAGTTCCTCTGTAACAATCTTTTTTTTTTCCTGTTAATGTCATTCATTTCATGGCTCATGGGATATTTTATATTACTTTAATACATACTTCACTGTTGTAATCATAGCTCTCGGAATGCAAAAGCAAGGAATTTTGAATATCTCAGAGTAGGCCTGAAATGTGTCCATTTTTGTGAATTCAGTCAATGCAAGATGTGAATACTAAATGCACATTTATTTACTCTGAAGTTTAATCTGATCTAAATTGCATGTGCAGATTCTTACTTGCACATCAGCAGTGGGTTACAGCTTTGTACCATGGTTCTGCTGCTCTGAACTGCTCTTTTTCTTTCTACAAAGGCAGCTCTTGAATACCTTTAAGCACTCCCATCAGTGACAGTATGAATTTTATTGCAGGTTCAGGCCTACTTTCTATCAACGAGAGCAAGTGGTGCCTCGTAATGCTTGCAGACAGCCAGTGTTGATGGGTCTCCCTAAACTGCGGATGGTTTCAGCTCGAAGCACACAGACGGAGACACTTAAAGTAAGTTATACTGCAGTAGCTGTTGTGAAGCAGCTCAGTGATGAGAACAATTTCTTGAAGGCTCAGCTGAAGACTATAGAAGGAGTCAAGGTTTGTGTCTGATTATGTCAGTAGACTTGCTGTTAACAGAGATCTCTTCAATGGAACTGCTGTCTAAATGGAACAAATGCCTCCGACAAGATTGATTTTGTGCTTGTATTCTGCACCCCTTCTCATCTCTCAGTAAATGAAAGGCGAATTAAATGTAACATATTGTTCTGGCCCCTTCAGGCTCCTTTTTATGTGAGTATACTGAATTGCTGCAGCAACAGTTAGGTGCGTCAAATTGAGTTTTCCTTCTTTACACCTATTCGCATGGATAGCCAGCTATAGATGACTTGAAGCTTGCGTTTCTTGCTTTCCAAGTCCTTCTGGACCGCTGATGTTATTCAGTAGGTCAAACACCATTCTAGTTCTTTTGCTTCTCTCTCAGCATGTCGTGGAAGCTGGGGAAATCAGTTATTGAGATTCCAATGAAGTTTTGGAGGAAGTCTTGGACATCGAAAAAAAAAAAAACACCTATGGGGAAACAGAAAAGTACTTTTAGAACAAGCTACTATTGTCTTCAGGGTATTGTACATGTGATGTGTCATGTAAGCCATTGTTAGGCATAGATACAGATGGCGTACTGAGACGGGATTCATAGGCTTGTGCAAGTATTCTAACGAATATTACAGTATTCAAATTGCTTCAATTTGAATTTAAATTACTTAAAACTTTGAAGTATTTGCAATAAATGAATAAATGTAAATTACCATGCATCAATGATAGGCTGAACGAACACAAGAATAACGTGGCCAAGGCACAGCCTGAGGGTTTTCTTGCAATTCACTGCAAAGAATGCGGGTGCCAACCCCTTTTTAATCGCACCAGCATAATCGGAAGAAGCACTAACCAAATGACAAGGCTCATTATAGAAGCAAAATTCATTGCTAAGTTTGGGGACGCCTGTATAAGCAAGCCATCGGTATCATTATTATTGAAAGTATTGCATTATTTAGATATCGCATGAGTTGCAGTAGATCACAATTTTCTGGTTCTAGCACGTGGTTGTGACGCGTCATGTTTGGGTACAAGTACGTATTGCTGTATCTCGGATTAAACTGCATTGTTGAAAGTTAGCGCCCTGTATGTGTTCTATGTCTTCTTTTCTGTCCCGTCCTGGATGTGCTATACCTCGAAAAACATGAATAACCAACAAGCCCGCCGTGCAACCTTAGCCTGTTTTAACTTCTTTTTTTTTTTTTTGCTTTGTGTGCGCTGTATTTTTTCTGCGACCGTATTGGAAGTGTTCGTTGTGAAAGTAGAAGGCTTTGAAAAATGTTTGCTGTATGTCAACTCAATTTCAAAGGGTAGCATAGGAAAATCGTAAGTGCACGGAAATATGGTCGTTATAATGGATAGATCGTTATATCTGGGATCATTATAAGCGTTTTGGGCTGTATCAGCTTTTCTGTTCTCGGGATCCTTTTCACCCCATCGTTTTGCGACTAGACTGATTTTTCACCCCGCAGGGGCGCCTGCGCAATTAGGCGTTTGATGTGTAGCGACACCACTAACCCGAGCTAACGGGGAGTTTCTACTCCCTCCCACGCCTAGCTGTGCGCGACTTTGCCGTGTCCAGGGAAAAGGGATCCTGGGGGTTGAGCCGGCGCTGGGTGATTGGACCGTTAAGGCCCCCCGGCAGAGGCAACACACCCCTTTGGCACCGGCTTCACGTAGACGGCACCCCTGGGCCGACTCACCCAGGGGAAATCGGCAGCCGCCTTTTCCTATCTCTCTCTCCCTACATCTTCGTCTTTATCTCTTACAATTTATCTGTCCGGTCTTCTACTCTCTTCCGTTTACTTCCAAACTTCCTGGCGGCTAGGGTTAACCCTGTGCAAATAGCCTACCTTGGTCTAGGCGCATTGGGTTATAGTGGCGTTGTACGGCTGGCGTCTGCAGGTTTCAGCATCCGCAAACTTGTAGCGTCCCCTCGTTGGGCTCCGTGGTGGGTGGCCGCCAACGCTGCTGAACAAAAATAAGACAGGCATGCATAGAGCATTCCCCTTACTGTCTGATCGTACCGGCTTAAAGCGGGTACGCACCGATGATATAAATTTTTTCAACCAGCCAAAAGAAACATATTCTCACTTTCATGTTATCCACTGTGAAAAAACTGAAAAGCAAGCCAGGACCGTCTCTCTTTTCGTAGTTACTAGATGTCTTACCGAAACTCTTGGCACAGGATACAAGGTAACCAAAATGGCTAGCGGAGACCTTCTCCTCGAAATCCGTGACAAAGAACAATTTGAAAAGCTAGACCGTCTTTCAGATTTCGGTGGCATACCAATAACCATAACACCACATAGATCAATGAACACAACTCGCGGAGTGGTATCTGACATGGACTTACTTGACTTGACTGAGACTGAAATTTTGGAGGGGTGGAAGCGCCAAAATGTCACTAATGTACAGAGAATCATCATCAGAAGAGATAATAATGAAACACCAACAAAACACTTAATACTCACGTTTGCATCCAGTAAACTACCGGAATCTATTCAAACAGGGTACACGAAGACATCTATCAGGCCGTACATACCAAACCCTCGTCATTGCTTCCAATGCCAGAGGTATGGCCATGGCTCTAAAACCTGTCGTGGTCGCCAAACTTGTGCACAATGTGGAGTCCTAGGCCACGTGTCTGAGAACTGCAAACAACCGCCACACTGTGTAAACTGCGAAGGAAACCATGCCGCATATTCACGCTCCTGCACATACTGGAAAAAAGAAAAAGAAATAATTACGTTGAAGGTGAAGAAGAACATTTCATTTAAGGAAGCATGGCGAAGAGTAGCACCATTCTATGGACCTACATACGCTGATGCGGCGCGTCAGGGGGCACCGCCGCACCAGCTCTCGCCACTCCTTCGGCCCGCGCATACCGAGCCGGTAGTTGTGGCACCTGCCCCCAAGGCGGCTGTAGCCCAGGCTACGCCGCTTACTCCCAAACAGAGACCGGAGACTCCAGAGTCCTCGGGTCTGAAGGCCTCACCAGGCGAGGCTCGATCTAACAGCCCGCACGTGTGGGCATCCAGTGCCTCCGAGGAGGCAATGGATACGTCGGTACCCTTGGTGCCGAAAGAGCAGCGTGGCTCCTTGGAGCGCGCCAAGAAAACAAAAAAGCAGATAACTGGGCCTGGTGACGGCCCTGTTAAGTGAACTCAAACTCCCCGTCTAAACAGCCACTCGTTTTCGTACACACAGCACTATTTTACATTCACCATGAACACTCAAACTATACAATGGAACGTCAGGGGCCTTCTCGGAAACCTTGACGACATTCAAGAACTCTTACACGAACACTCACCAAAAGTGCTGTGTGTACAAGAAACACACCTTAATTCAAAACACACAAATTTTCGTCGTAAATACGTTATTTTCCGAAAGGACCGTGTTGATGCCATGACATCATCCGGAGATGTTGCCATCATAGTGAATCAAGGAATTGCATGCACACACTTACAACTACAAACATTTCTTGAGGCAGTGGCTGTTCGAGCGGTTCTTTTTGATAAACTGATCACAATCTGCACTACATTCCTCCTAGCTATCAGCTGCAAAAACGTGATTTACACTCTTTAATTGATGAACTTCCGGAACCTTACGTTCTCCTTGGAGACTTTAATGGGCATAGTAGGCTATGGGGTGACTCTTGGTATGACGTGCGAGGTCGACTGATTGAACAGTTCCTTCTCTCGTCGAGCGCGTGTCTCCTAAATCGAAAAGAACCAACCTATTATAATCTCGCCAATAACACCTACTCCTCCATAGACCTAAGCATAGTATCTCCATCTCTTGTGCCTCTACTCCAGTGGAAAGTCGTCAGTAATCTGTACAGAAGTGACCACTTCCCCGTAGTTTTGAGCACAACTACAGTAACTGAGTGTCCACCACGTGTTCTCAAGTGGCTCATAAACAGAGCCGACTGGGAACAGTTTCAGACCATCGCTCGTCTAGGTTGGAATGACATATGTACTTTGAACATTGATGTTGCTGTCAACTACTTCACAGTGTTTTAGGGGCGAAGCTCCTTAGGGCGTGGGCTGTGCGTCCCCTGTAGCCTGTATGTAGCCACCTCTAGTTTAGTTCTTGCAGTGTTCACTAGATGGCGGTACCGTCCCCTGTATGTAGCCACATCTAGTTTAGTTCTTGCAGTGTTCACTAGATGGCGGTACCGTCTCCTGTATGTAGCCACCTCTCGTTTAGTTCTTGTAGTGTTTACTAGATGGTGGTACTTGTAGCTGATGATGAAAAGATGCAAGATGTTATAAACTAGAAAGCGGTACTTGCAGTTGATGAAAGACGCGAGATCTTATAAAATAGGCATGATGTCACTTCACAGACCATAAAGTCGTCATAATGAAGGGACATCGCAAGCCATCCATCGTCTAAGAACAAATAAAAGTTGATTTGTGTATATACACACACAGCGTTTCTCACGTCTTTACATGATGATCGACTGGGCGAATTACACGGAAGATTCACAGTTTACCGATGAATCCCTCCGGAGCTTCGCCCATTCATCATCATTCACCCCGTGAATATGCCGTAATTTTTTTGATTGATGCTGCAACAAAATGCATCCCACAAACAAATGGACACCCTGGAAAGCGGCGTGTGCCATGGTGGAACTCTGAATGCCAAAACGCGTGCAAACAGCAAAACAGAGCTTGGAGGCTGCTTCGGAACTCACCGACAGCCGAAAATCTCGACACATTCAAGAAAATAAAGTCTCAAGGCAGGAGAACGCGTCGGCAGGCCAGAAGAGAAAGCTGGTAGAAGTTTTTGTCAGGGATCAATTCATACACACAGGAGGCTAAAGTCTGTAACATGGTCGGTACACACAGTGCAGCCACACACTTCCACACGGTACACACACGGTACACACAGTACACACACTTCCACTCGTAAAC